CTCGCTGACTTCCGAGAAGCTTCATGTACCTGCACGGTTGCCGCAATCTGTGCATCCCACAGTAACGCCGAGGATGCAACAGATGGCAGCAACCGCGCCTCTGGCCAATCGCTGTCCATCTCGCCACTTCCGAGAAGCTTCACATGCCTGCACGGTTGCCGCAATCTGTGCATCCCTACGTAACGCCGAGGATGCGACAGATGGCAGCAACCGCGCCTCTGGCCAATCGCTGTCCATCTCGCCACTTCTGAGAATCTTCACATACCTGCACGGTTGCCGCAATCTGTGCATCCCACACCAACATCGACTTCTAAGGAATTCTGAGGATGCAACAGATGGCAGCAACCGCGCCTCTGGCCAATCGCTGTCCATCTCGCTGACTTCCGAGAAGCTTCATGCACCTGCACGGTTGCCGCAATCTGTGCATCCCGCACCAACATCGAGTTCCAAGGAATTCTGAGGATGCAACAGATGGCAGCAACCGCGCCTCTGGCCAATCGATGTCCATCTCGCCGACTTCCCAACGTTGCCGCAATCTGTGCACCCCAGCGTGTCGCCATTCGAATTAGGCTCTCCACCACAAGCTATGTTGCCACTTGCTGCTGCCTCGTCGGGGTCATAGTCATGGCCGATGCCAATCACCCTGTCGAAAGATGCTTAGTCTGCGGCCTGGTTCAAGAAGTCTTCTGCGCGCTCTGCGGGCGCGCGGCAGTTTGCTGAGCATCCACAGGAGCACGCAGAAGACTTCTTATGATTGGACTTGGGTTGCCCGGTCCAGTCGGCTGCACATCTATACAGATACTCCATTCCGCGCCGTCATTGCATGAGCTGGTCAGAGAAATCAATTTCCTTCTGCTGATTGATCGCGATCCATGGCCAATTCTTGAGCCCAAGTTGAGAAGGTGGCCTTTGCAAATCGTGCTGATTAAAACGAGATGCAAGAAACCTGTACGACCGGCTTCCTTACCTTTGCTTGTTGGGGACGTGACAGAAACAACAGTCCGGTGGCATTGCTCGCTTCTCCTTGCCGAGGTACAAGATGCCCTCCCAGAGGCTGGCAGCCTGGAAAAGGACGCGGAAACTACCGTGAAATCTGGAAGTCAAAGATAAACATACAAAAAGCTATAGATAGCGATCGAAAAACAACAGATAAAGAAAATGCTATAAATTGCAACATTGTGGAGGGGACGAAAGGTTTGCACTTGCTTGTTTTGTATAACTATGTCGTGCGTCTTTCGGTTTTCAGCTTTTTGTCTGCTGTCAATGGTTTTGAAACGGAAAACCGCTTGAAGAACTGAAGTGTAAGCACTACCCGAGGCTCGGCACGGATGTGGTGATCTGCTGCGCACTCTGGTGGAAACGAACAGCTGCCACCTTGGCAGCTTGGCACAGGGGCAGATCCGGCTCTGCGAGTCTTCCGCGGGAGCTCGGTGCTCGGCATTGAAAACTTCGGTGTCCTTGCAACCAGGACCTGAGCGATTTTTGGAGATCTTGGGGGGATTCCGCCCTGGCTGAGGCCGGTGCAGCAGGGCCTCTCGCCGAGCCGACCTGGGTTTTCTAGCAGAAGCAGAAAATTGCCGTAGATTTTGGACGCCTCCACTGAGGAGAAGGCCCACACAAGCGGAGCAAAGAGCCACGGAGCATTTGCTGCAAGCCTACGGCGCTGTCAAGGAAAGTCTGTTCTCAAAGGAAGACCGGGGCTTTCGGCTCAGGGCAGGACCAGGTCAAAGGAAGAGCTCGGTGCACTGCACTTGAAGCAGCAGTGAGAGACCTGGAGCTGAGCCTGATAAGCGAGTTTCATTCTGCGCCAACAACTTACAGTATAGTTTTGCACACTTCATTTGCGGCAGCCTGACGGGAGATCGTCCGTCGCAGCGCTGCCTGGTCTTCAGCGTGCCTCAGGCAAGGTCAGGACACCCTGTGTGACTCTGTGCCGTAGGCCAATCATCCATGCTCCTGACCCGGGAGCGTCCATCCCTGCCGAGGGCATCGCAAGATCAGAGGCGATCCGTCGCTGGAAAAGGCACCTCTGCGACACAGCATCTACGACTTGCCGTGCCGTTGTCTGCAGTCAAGCTCGCGAGAAATTGCACTTCGTCCCTGCGCTGGCGCTGAGCAAATGTGGGCGATAGATGGCAGAAAAGCTGGTAGGTGTGGATCAACCACAATTTCTGAGTCCAGCTGGGCCCGATGCGTGTCGCAAATGCCTCTACCTCATTGAGAGCCTTCGCCGCGGGGTTTGATTGTTCGGAGAATTGGTGCAGCTCCTTGTGCCTCGCCAGCACGATTTGCCAGGCCCATGGCTGTCTCCCAGGCCTCCAAAGGCGAAAGGCAGCCCAGTGCTTTTAGTACCCTCCGGGGGGGGGGGTCGTGCGGAACGTAACCGCTGCAAGAAGCGAAACTTTGTCAAAACAAGCATGGCCATGAGTTGGTATGGAATGGTGGAGATCGACGACCAGAATGATGGCGTTATCCATGCTCTGGCTGTGCCGAGAGAGAGGCCTTCAGTTTATGCTACACCCAACGACTCAAGTGCGCCGAACCCTCCCAAGGTGGCTTTAATTAGGACTTTGGGCAGGGAACCAGGAGTCGTGGTGAAGTTAACTTTCACAATCCCTGTCGTGATGCAGCGAAAGATGCTTTTGACAGTTCTCGCGTACGACTAGGTTCTTCTCCCACCTGGTTTCGCACAGGTGTGGATAAACGTCGCCTGGCGCATGCCGTTGGTCGGGACCCTCCTGGCCTCGCCAGCAGCCAGGTAGTGGCGCAAGGGCTCCGCGTTCTTCTCAACCTCAGAGCGCAGCGAATACTTTCGAGTTGCACACGCTTCTCGCCTTCTCGCAATGTAGGGGCCCGGCATCACCACATGCAGGGCATCGTCGCTCTGACAGCTCCGTGCGGGCGCAGGTATAGCAAATACTGGCCTGACTGAGCAAATCCAAGCATCCTCTAGCTCGACCTACTTCCTAACCACTGCAATATCTCATCAGTTCAGACATGACTTATACAGAATACTCATTAAGTTTCTCTTTGCATTGCTACAGCTTCACATGGCGTAGACACGGCGGTCGATGTCTCAGGAGTGGACATGGCAAGCAGGGCAGACATGATTGGTGGCCTTCGAGCTGCTGCTCGCAACTGCGACAGAGGAGGACACTAATCAACATCTGGCGACATGCACTATGTGCAAGAAGCATTGATTTCAGCGGACTTGGATGCTCGTCCCAGGAGACCCAGTCTGACTTGCAAACTTCACTAGGTGCTGGGTTGCTCGTCAAGACTTAACGAGCAACCCAGCACCTGGAAGCAACACAGCACTGAGGAGACAACAGATGATGGCTCTTGGCAGAGGCAGCAAGCCTTGCAGTCACCAAGCGTAAAAAAATTGCTCACGGCCGGCAAGACGGGCAACAGCTGTCCATTCTCAGCATTGGGCACGGCCGCGCTCGCGATCACGTTCTGTGGCGTGCCTTCAAACAACGGTCGCAACAGGAGCACACAAGGAGGCCTCCTGCATGTTAAAGCCCGGCTCGCGGAACACAAGAATTGAACAGTTGGGGCAGCATCCGGCAGACCTTAGAGTACGTATACTCTTGCCGAAATTATCTGCATCCTCGCCAGTAAAAACCACTTCCGCGGTTTTGCCTGGCTTCGCCACCTCTTTACTCCATTTCGAGTCCGTAAGCTCCAGCCGCTAGTTGATCCACGGCGAACAGGGAACTTGCAACAGCTCATTGTCTGGCGGGTGGCTCTCTCGTCTGGACTTGACACGGTGCTGAGCAGTTATACGCAGATCGGCGAGAAAACTGAAAGGAAATCCGGCTAATGCTAATGATCATTGCAAACTTTAACGCCTATAGTCACGAGAGCATCAAAGCAGCCTTGGCAAACTCAGATCCAGCACCGCTCCAGATCCGACCTGTGGCGATGAGCTGCAACTTTCGAATCCAAGCAAGATAAGGAGATGTAAGGAGCAGGGAAGATGCCGGCTTTTGTGGGGCATCCCCGGGAACTTCTGTGCTCTTGGAGGGACCTTGTCCAAGTTGTCGGCCACCTCTGCGCCGACCTGCATTTGCATTGCACTGCAGCTATCTCTCTAAAATTACTAGCAAGGCTCGCTGCCGCCTTCTGCGCTGCTGACACGACGGCTTTTCGGGCGGGGGGCACGCAGCTTGTGCTGGCAAGATAGAGCTGAAGAGTCTTTCGAAACTCAGCATTCAGATGCCCGCAATCGGTCCAACCTCTGGCTCTCGTAGCCTTTTGCGGACTGTGGCCCCGTGGACCGTTCAAGGAGCATGCGTGGAACAGATCAGTTGATCAGTTCGCCTAGAGCCCAACCCTCGAGCAGGAAGAAGCTCTGCAACAGCGACACAGGAAAACTGATTCAATGAATTAGCTTGAAATGTGTGCAGAGCGCGCCGCATGTGACATCTGCCCACAGCAAAGGCACTGAACATTATTGAATCCTGGTCTGGCAGGAGCATCGTGCACACAGTGAGCAATGATTGGCATTGGCAAAGCCAGCAACAGCAGCGCGGCTTAAGAAGGGACCGCAATGAGACGTCTCCTTGAAATGGAGGGTCAGAGCTTGCCAAGGGTGTGGTAAAGGTGGCAACCAAGGACTGCTTACCGTATGTCGGCCTGCTCCTCTTGATCCACAGCATTCTCAACTTGTCTTGTGCTTTGTTGTATCTTCTTGGCGTGCCAGCAATGATGCAGCCCTCACAAGTGCATCTTTCTATTATCAATCCGGCGACTTGCCTGGCATGCCAGCAACTGACGTAACTGACCTTCTGGCTACACAACTTGGCAAACTCCTGACAGATTCTGCCAGATGTGACCCTGGATTCCATCGTGGCTCCATGGGCAAACACCCGGGAGGAGTCCGATGGAAGCTTTTCGGGATCCATCTCGGTCCCGTAGGATACAGAAAAAATCGCTCTGCAGCGACTTTGCTGTGTTTTTGCCCGCTGGCCTGCGACAACAGCAAGGGCTCCATTATGATACAGACAGCGAGCACGAGCAGCCATGCTTCGACTTACACAGCGCGAAGCTTGCAGCCAAGAATCGTCTAGCAGACCTGTTTGTCTGTCTCCAGCGTGACTGTGGCATATCCGCCGCACTGTGGCAGCACGTCCTTGACGCCCAACTCCTGGAAGATGGCCTGTGAGAAGAGATGGTGTGTGTGTGTGTGTGTG